GAGAAGAGAAGAGAAGAGAAGAGAAGAGAAGAGAAGAGAAGAGAAGAGAAGAGAAGAGAAGAGAAGAGAAGAGAAGAGAAGAGAAGAGAAGATCCTTTTAGCACATGCAGTGAGTGACTCCATAAGAACAAATGTCTATGAGGCTGGGGCTGTAGCTCAGTGGTGGTGCACTTGCATAGCATGTGTGAGGCACTGGGTTCAATCCTTAGCACCGCATAAAAATAAACAAATAAAATAAAGGCATGCTGTCCATCTACAACTACAAAAAAATTTAAAAGAACAAATGTCTAATGGATAGACATTCCATGTATTATGATTGAAATGACATATATGTTTTATTTGTACTGTGCATGAAGAGGAAAACATATAGGGAAAGGAATTCTAGAACATAAAATAAAAGTTGATATCTGCCAGCTTCAGTTGTGGTTTTTAAAAAATCCTCATATTCTAGAGGTAAGCAAAGTGATGTTCTTTCAGTACCTTGAAGGGCTGTGATTTCTCCCTAACATCTAGACATTGCCATGCTATTCTCTCACATGAAGGCCTTTTCCCTGATCCACTCCTCTCAAGTTTCCCAAGAAGGCCTTTGCTAACTTCCAAAGCCAGTTGGAGGCCATTTCATCCCCTTGACTTTCCCCATCATAGTAGTTATCTCAGTGCACTGTGATTCCCTGTTTGCTTTTACATCCTCATAAATTCTGTGATGGAAGTGCTTGTATCTATATTGTTCACCTTCAGTACCTCAACAACTATATTGTCAGACACCCCATTGTGTGTTTGTGCAATGAATAGGTTGAATCACAAATATTAAAACTAAAATGCTGGGTTATTGAAAAACTTCAAGAAATGTAATCTATAAATACGGCTCACATTTATTGTGATTCTTAAACTGAACATTTGGAATCAGTAACTCCAGAAAGTTTGAAGCAAATAGAGTGGAGTTAAGGTTGGTGCATGGCTTCCAAAAGAAAGTCTCTTGAACCTTTAATACATATCAAGTCAATTATATAGTCAACAACAGTCCCCTTCCCTCTGATAAAAGGATCTTCAAATACTGAGAACCAAAAATAATAACTTCGGTTTGACTGAAAGTGTGCACTAAACGGTCAGGCCTCTGGGTGTCGCTGTTGACTACTCAAGAAGGAAAAAAACGTAACTGGAGAGCTAGTCCACCATTTCCTGGATCCTAAATCGCAAAGAACCAGCAAATCCGACTCAGAAGATTCGGAACTCTACCAAGCTCATCCCATTAATCAACCCTCTCTGTGGCCTATGAATTAAACCCATGGACTTAATTCCCTGAGGAAATAAGACTGGAGTCCATCGCGGGAAATTGGAACAGAATTCAGAGAAAAAAATATTCACCAAAAAGGAAATGACCAATTGCTTGAAATTTCGCGATGGCAGAGAACTGGCTTTGCTATGCGTGCTCCTGTGGACTCTGTGTGAGACAGGATCTGGGCAGATCCGCTACACGGTGCTGGAAGAGCTGGAAAAAGGCTCTTTTGTGGGTAACATCGCCAAAGACCTGGGGTTGGAGCCCCGGGAGCTGGCGGAGCGCGGAGTCCGCATCGTCTCCAGAGGTAGGACGCAGCTTTTCTCTCTGAACCTGCGAAGCGGCAGCTTGGTCACAAAGGAGAGGATAGATCGGGAGGAGCTCTGCGCTCAGAGCGCACGGTGTGTGGTAAAATTTAATATCCTGATTGAGGATAAGTTGAAAATTTTTGAAGTAGAAGTAGAAATTAAAGATATTAATGATAATGCTCCTAACTTTCTAACAGAGGAATTAGAAATAAAAATTGGTGAATTAACATTTCCTGGAACCCGATTTCCACTTAAAACTGCATTTGACCCAGATGTAGGCATGAATTCTTTACAGAACTACAAGCTCAGCCCCAATGACTACTTCTCTCTGGCTGTGAATAGTGTCCCTGATGGGACCAAATACCCTGAGTTGGTGTTGGAGCGGGCACTGGACCGTGAGAAAAAGGAAGTACACAAGCTTGAACTGTTTGCCTCTGATGGTGGTGACCCTGTCCACTCTGGCCATTTATGCATCCAAGTGATAGTTTTGGATGCGAATGACAACCCACCAGTGTTTACTCAGTCAGAGTATCATGTAAGTGTCCAGGAGAATGTGCCAGTGGGAACCCAGCTGATCACAGTGAATGCTACAGACCCTGATGAGGGATTCAATGCTCAAGTGTCCTATATTCTAGATAAAATGCCAGGAAAAATTGCTCAGGTTTTTTATCTCAACTCAGTGACTGGAGACATATCAATATTAAGAAGTCTGGACTATGAGGATACTACATTTTATGAAATTAAAATTGAAGCACAAGATGGACCAGGTCTTATTTCAAGAACCAAGATTCTAGTCACAGTTCTAGATGTGAATGACAACGCCCCAGAATTTACAATCACTTCTCTCACAGACTCAGTTCCAGAAGAGGCTACAGCTGGGAGAGAAATTGCTCTTATCAATGTCCATGACCGAGATTCTGGGCAGAATGGACAAGTCACAGTTTTTGTCCTGGGAAATCTGCCATTTAATTTAGAAAAATCAATAGACCAGTATTACCGCTTAGTGACAGCCAAATCTCTAGATCGTGAACAAGTGTCTGAATATAATATCACTCTGAGAGCCACAGATGAGGGAAATCCACCTCTGTCCACAGAAGTCCACCTCACTCTTCATGTGGCAGACATCAATGACAACCCACCTGTCTTCACTCATGCTTCCTTTTCTGCCTACATTCCCGAAAACAACCCTAGAGGAGCTTCCATCTTCTCTGTTACTGCTCAGGACCCAGACAGTGACAACAATGCCCGCATCACTTATTCATTGACTGGGGATACCCTCCAAGGGTCACCATTGTCTTCCTATATCACCATCAACTCTAACACTGGTGTCCTGTATGCACTGCACTCCTTTGACTATGAAGAATTTAGAGATATGCAGCTACTGGTGACAGCCAGTGACAATGGGGATCCTCCACTAAGAAGCAATGTATCCTTGAACCTGTTTGTGCTGGACCAGAATGACAACATCCCTGAAATCCTGTACCCCACCCTCCCTACAGATAGCTCCACTGGTGTGGAGCTGACGCCCCGCTCTGCAGAGCCTGGATACCTGGTGACCAAAGTGGTGGCAGTGGACAGAGATTCAGGCCAGAATGCCTGGCTGTCCTACCGCCTGCTCAAGGCCAGTGAGCCAGGGCTCTTTGTGGTGGGGCTGCACACTGGAGAGGTACGTACAGCAAGAGCCCTACTGGATAGGGATGCTCTCAAGCAGAGTCTTGTAGTGACTGTGCAGGATCACGGCCAGCCTTCTCTTTCAGCCACAGTCACACTCACCATAGTAGTGGCAGACAGCATCTCTGATGTCCTGGCAGACCTGGGCAGCATCAGGACCACCACCAGTCCTGATGATTCAGACCTTACATTCTACCTGGTGGTGGCAGTGGCTACCGTCTCCTGTGTCTTCCTTGCCTTTGTCATCATGCTGCTGGTGCTCAGACTTTGGCGCTGGCGCTCATCACACCTACTCCAGGCTTCAGGAGATGGGCTGGTGAGCATGCCTACTTCACACTTTGTGGGTGTGGATAGAGTGCATGCTTTACTGCAGACATATTCCCAAGAGGTCTCCCTCACCACAGACTCAAGGAAGAGTCAACTTATTTTCCCCCAACCCAACTATGCAGACACACTCATCAGCCAGGAGAGCTGTGAGAAAGGCGAGCCTCTCCTGATATCCCAAGATTTGCTTGAAACCAAAGGAGACTCCAAGCTACTTGTGGTGAGTTATTTCTTTCTTTGAATAGTATGAAGAACAATTATGCCAACGTTTTAAAACACATTTATTTGAGAAATAAATCAATGAGGTAGTCATTAGTTCTGTTGTCTAAATATTTGTCCTTTTCTTCTTCTGAGTCTATGGGATGGGTATGGGAGGATTATGACTGAGTAGGTCTAGGTGATTAGTTTTGGCTAATATTCTGTGAGTGGCAATACCATATGTCACTTCTTGGAGGAAGCTCTAATTGCCATTGTCAGAATATCCAGATCACTAAGCTACAGTTTGAAACTATAGCTGCAAGAACTAGGGGTGAAACTCAGTGGGAGAATGTTTGCCTAGTGTGGCCTAAGCCTTGGGTTCAATTCCCAGCACTGGAAGAAGAAAAGGAAAAGGAAAAGGAATGACAGAGGGAAGGAAGAAAGGAAGGAAGGAAGGAAGGAAGGAAGGAAGGAAGGAAGGAAGGAAGGAAGGAAGGAAGGAAGGGAGGGAATTAAATGAAATGAAATTGTGGCTGGTTCTTCTACCTGTGTCCTAATATTGATCTATATTGATCTGGTCCTTATACTTGTAATAAACAGGCCTTATGATAGGAATCAAATCCAGGGCTTTGGCTCATCCAAAACACAACTCTAATACTTAATTAAACCCTTTTTTACATTTTGTATTATTATTTATTTATTTCCATTCTGAAGATTGAACCCCAGGACCTTTTACACACTAAGCAAATGCTCTACCACTGAGTACACGTTATTGTTGCCTGGGCTGGCCTTGAACTTGAGATCCTCCTGCCTTAGCCTCCTGAGTAATAGACACCTTTTACATTTTAAAATCACTGTGATCTGAAGTGTGTCATTCCTAATAACAAAACCTATCCTGACTCACACAAATTAAAATTTTTATAAATACAAACAAGTTAAGATATGTATATATAAAACTTAAAATTATGTTTGACTTCTTCCAAACCATATCACACTCTTTTTCATCTCAAAGATTCAAGGATGTTTGTGTATATATATATATACACATACACACATACATATGGCGGAGGATTCATATTGATTCCAGTCTTTTGCTTGAAGGTAAAAAGTTTTGCCTAACTTGAGGCCTAAATTGTTATGAGCCTCAGAATAGTATTTTTCTTCATTGAGAAGGGCTTTAAAAAGCAAAGATATGTTTCAGTCTCTCCAAGAGACTTCCAGACCATCCATTTCAATAATGGATTAGGAGTGCTAATCATGCTGTACAACTCTGTTAAGCCAAAAATCGTTGATGCATTTTGAAATTTATGAAATTTTTTCACTCATGTTATCATAAATGGGCATTCAAAATTGGACCAAATATATTTACTTAGATCTCAAAGGACAAATCTCTCCCTCAGCATATTAGGAAAAGCATAATAGGTGATTAGTTTGTGTGAGACAACAGAGCCTGAAGAAAATATATTTAAGCAGAGAAAGATATATTCTCACTCAGATATTCAAACACATCACAGAATTAACAAGTCACTAACCTTGGCATCTTTTTAGGGAACATCTTTATAGTAAGGAGAAAAAATATATAGTGGCTATTTCCAGGGGAAATTTATAGGCTCAAAGAGAATTTTCTACAAATTTCATATGAAGCATAGCCTACTATGAAGCATTGTGTATTTTCGGTGTATCCTGAAAATACACTGAGCATATAAATTTGCATTTACTTGTGTGTAGACAATGAAAAAGTCTCTGACACACTATTTTCAATAGAAAGGATTTTTTGAAGGACAGTCAAAATTCACTAGAAAGAAAAGGAGGAAAATACATAATAAAAGGAACAGATTATGTAAAGGCATGAACTAGAGAAAACTTGTGTTAGGAAATACTAGTCTATTTTGACTGGAGTATTAGATGAGCACTGCAAAATAGTAGAACTATTTAGTTGTTAAACTATTTAACTGTTTAGTTGGCATCTTAATCCATTGTTTGTTGCTGTAACAAAATACCTGAGACTGGGAAATTTATAAAAACAGATACTTGTTTAGCTGATGGTTCCAGAGTCTAGGATGTCCAAGAGAATGGTGCCATCATCTGCTTAGCATCTGATAAGAGCCTTCTTATAGGGTAATGACATGGCAGAGGGCATCAATTCACAGAGATAGGTGCTTTTGTCATAAAGTAACTCATGTGATAACCTAATAATCCATTCATGATTCAATCACCACTCAGCAATCCAACCTCAAAATAAAATTAACATTTGGATTTGGGAATTACATTTCTAACACATAAAATTTGTGGAATACCTTCAAATTATAGCAGCATCTAAGTTGATAATGTATTTGAAATAAAGGGATTTGCTTCTCTGAATTATGTGAGACCAGGATAAATTCTAAAATAGAGTATCTAAGAATCTTCAGTATCTATCCAGGAATTACCAGTGATCAAGTCAAATCCATTTCATTCATTAATGGTGTAAACTGATGAGCCAAGAATTGCAGTTGCACATGCATTGATATATATGAAAATACTGATCTCATAAAAACATATATGGCTTGGGCTGGGGATGTGGCTCAAGTGGTAGTGTGCTCACCTGGCATGCATTCGGCCTGAGTTCGATCCTCAGCACCACATACAAACAAAGATGTTATGTCCGCTGAAAACTAAAAAAATAAATATTAAAAAACTCTCTCTCTCTCTCTCTCTTTAAAAAAAAGCATATATGGCTTATACAAGAACGATTATTGTAAAAGCATGTGGTGTGTGCCCAAATATTAACTGGTTCCTTTAATAAAATATCAGGTTCTTGTCTACTTTACTAGGAATGTTATGTTTTAAAAATAAGAACAATACATTAAAATAATTCTAGAACCTTTGAACCTTTACTCCTTTTTTTTTTTTTTCAAAGACCGAGTCTTTGAAAAAGTGTTAGTAGACTAATGGAGTATATATGGAGAAATTAAGATACTAAATAAGAGAAGTTACCTATGAACTTGAAGAAAGGTAAGGATCATAGCCCACTAAAAATGTATATTAAATCCTTTAACTTGTTTGGATACACCAGTCATGTCTGAGTTCATAAATACCATATAGTAAAATCACTGAAGATATTTTTACACCCAAAAACGGGGGGAGGGGAATGATTTATGCCTTTCGAAGGGAAAAAAGAAGACTGTAAAATGATGAAGACATTGTGAGACTGTGAAAAACAAGAAAATTTAAAGTAAAATATGAATATTTAGTTTTTTCAAGCAAATTAAAAGACATATAGAGGGGGAAAACATGTACTCTGAGGATAAACAGCTGGGCGATATCCAAAACGACCTCCAGGCGCCGCTGTCCACCAAAGGGAAGAGAACAGTTCTAATTTCTGCAGGAGAGTCAAGCCAGTGCTTTCCGTTTTATTCAGCTCAGCAGAAAGCAGTCGCTGCTCCTGTGCACTCTCAAGAGCCCAGTAAATGGTCTTACCTTCGAATCACGAAAGTCTAGGGTGCTGTCATTGCCTTTTAAAAATATATCCCAGAGAAACCTTGAAAAGAAGCTTCCTGGAGAGATCAAGAAATGCAGAGGAGTGCCAGAGAAACTGATACAATGCGAAGTCAGGTACTGTTTCTCTTCCTGCTGTCTTTGTTCTGCGGGGCCATCTCCCAGCCCATTCGATACTCAATTCCAGAGGAGCTGGCCAAGGGCTCTCGAGTGGGGAACCTCGCCAAGGATCTGGGGCTCAGTGTCCAGGAGTTGCCAGCTCGAAAACTGCGGGTTAGTGCAGAGGATTATTTCAGTGTTAGTGCAGAAAGTGGGGACTTGTTAGTGAGCGGCAGGATAGATAGAGAGAAGATTTGCGGGAGAAAATCTGAATGTGCACTGGAATTCGAATCAGTCATTGAGAACCCAATGAATATTTTCCACGTGATTATTGATATTCAAGATATTAATGACAATGCACCATGTTTCATTGCAAAAGAGATTGAATTAGAAATTTGTGAGTCAGCATTACCAGGGGTAAAATTCCCTCTGGATTCTGCACAAGATGCAGATGTAGAAAGTAATTCACTGAAGATATATACTATTAGCCCCAATGAATACTTCTCTCTGTCGACAAAGGAAAGTCCGGATGAAAGTAAATATCCAGAATTGTTGCTGGAAAAACCTCTGGACAGGGAACATCAGAACTCCCATCGCTTAATCCTAACAGCCATCGACGGTGGGGAACCGCCTCTAAGCAGTACCACCCAGATTCGGATCAAAGTCACTGACGCCAACGATAATGCTCCGGTGTTCAGCCAGGACATATACAGAGTTAGTCTCAAAGAAAATGTGCCCCAGGGAACTTCTGTGCTGCGAGTGACGGCCACAGACCAGGACGAAGGCATTAATGCAGAGATCACCTATGCCTTCCTCAATGCTCCTACAAGTGCTAGCCTCATTTTCCATCTCAATCCAAATACGGGTGATATCACAACTAACGGTACATTGGACTTTGAAGAAAGAAATAGATACGTGTTGGGTGTGGAAGCCAAGGATGGAGGGGTGCACACAGCTCATTGTAATGTTCAGATTGAAGTTGTTGATGAAAATGACAATGCCCCAGAGGTGACATTTATGTCCTTTTCTAACCAGATTCCAGAGGACTCAAACCTTGGAACCATAATAGCCCTCATTAAGGTGCGAGACCGGGATTCTGGACAAAATGGTCTGGTGACGTGCTATATTCAGGAAGAGGTTCCCTTTAAATTAGAATCCACTTCCAAGAATTATTACAAGCTGATAATTGATAGGGCCCTAAACCGGGAAGAGACCGCAGAGTACAATGTTACCATCACAGCCACCGACAGGGGCAAGCCATCCCTTTTCTCCACAGCAAGCGTCACCCTCTACATCGCGGACATCAATGACAATGCGCCGGTTTTCCAGCAGGCTTCCTACACGGTCCACATAGCTGAGAACAATCCACCTGGAGCCTCCATCGCTCAGGTCAGTGCCTACGACCCGGACTTGGGCCCCAATGGCCAAGTCTCCTACTCCATCGTGGCTAGCGACCTGGAGCCTCAG